CAAATACCAAAATAGTGGCTTAACAGTCGAAGAAAGCTGCTAGGACAACAAAAATTGAAAATGAAAGTAGGTATAACCAAACTGAAAAAGGGCCGTTGTTAGAAAAAAATCTGGTTATATTGATTAGTTGATTACCAACGACTACGTTAACCTACTACCAATTTCTAAGTATTGTGTTGTTGTGTATTGTATACTAGTTTGATACTACCTGTCACTACTTAATACGCTGGGGGGTCGATTGAAGTAATTTGAGGGATAACATTCTCTATAACTACAATTTAATCTTAAACATGTCACAAATTAAATGTAAAAGAAAAGGGGATTTAAGTTAAATGTGGTTTCATAACAAACAAGTAACAAATATAAGTTAAGATTACAACAACTTATTCAAACGGGTTACGTTAAAATTCATGTCATTATATACTATGGAGTAACGTGTTAGGTGAAATTCTTTAAAGCGACATCTAAGTTTCACAACTTTTAAATTGATGTAATCGTAACTCAAAGCTACCTGGTTACGTGGTACCCTGTATAACGTTACATAGTTACGTCTAATAGAATACACCCATTATTAAGTGTCACATGTTCTATATATATATATATATATATATATATATATATATATATATATATATATATATATATATATATATAAAGACTCTAATTAGTGATGAAGTATACCTAGTATACTAAATCGAATACGAACAATGTAAAATGTAATCTGGTTACGTTGCTACTTTAGTTACTGATTGGAGAGTAATCTAGTTACGTGAAATTCCATGCAAGCACGTCTGGGTGTCCTGATTTCAATGGTAAAGAACTAACTTTGTTACAAATTGACGCTTTACGTCAATCTCTATACAACTACTGTATGTACTCCACCGCCGCGATTCCAGTGGATCGTAGGTGTATTGTGAGTGAATGCTTTGTACGTGTTCTGTATTTAATCGAATGCCGAAAACAACAACTGTTATTACTGTAGTTACATCATGCCATGTAGTTTTCTTTGTAAGTTTTTTCTCAGTGATAGTTGTAATGCTCTGTTGAAAATAAATTTTATTTTGAAATGATTAATCGTGTCGTGCCTTCGTTTATCCCGGCTTTCCGCCAAAAAACATGCGTGCCGTAGACACTTAGTAAGGCGGCCACTGTCAGTACGCCTACTATAAAAGTAGGAATTTTTAAACTGTGCTATTCTTGTTACTTGCGTTCTGATTGGTTAATTTACGTGCGTTATCACGTTCTAGAATGCCTAGAAAGAAACATAAGGTGGGTGAAGTCACGGCGCCCATTGCCGAGACTCATGACAACGCAGTTCCCGTTTGCAGTCTTTGCAGATGTTATTGGTTGTACGCATGGACCGGGCGTCTTGTAGATCGCGATTTAAGGTCGAAACGACCGTTACAAACACAGTTTAAAATGCGGAGAGGGACATTTGACACGAACAATTCTATTCTACAAACAAAGATATCCCTCACAGAAAAATAATTGGACAAGTCTATTTAAATGCGGCAGACACGTGGCTTCCTAATTTCTGACGTGTTTGTCCCATTCTATCGCGTCACGAATAACGCCGTTCTTCCAAATATCATTTAGTACTAGCATAGCGTAGAAAATTATGTTACCCAACTATAGCCCGATATAAGAACCTCACTCTGTATTTCATATGTTAGATACTTTTCAATTCTTGAAATGTTTTAACTTCAGTTTAGCCTCTTCATAAACAATTAGGGGGTTGGCCATTATCCCCAACCATGATAGAGAAAAGCAAAAAAACAAAAATACATTATCATCGAAAAAAAATCCAGCTATAGGGCGCCTGCTAGTGTCGAGGCCCGGTTGCCGAATTGTAAGTTGCGAATCTCGTGTTTCATTCATGTTTATAAGTTCGTAATACTAGTATGTGCCTGTAATTTCAAATATCCCGTCATCTACATAAAACAATTTGTTTTAATCGACGAGCTCAAAGCCTCGTCATCTGTTTATATCTTCATATATAACGTGTCCCTAGCGTATCTTTGCTGCTGCCCTTGGGAAAATCAAGTCCAAATTAATAAACACTCGTAGTGGTAAAAGCCCTACTTTCACACAACCTATTATCATGCAACCTCTTTCTTTTGAAAGTCTCTTATCGGCATCTAATCGAGACACGCGCGGCAATGGGACGCTATGGTCTATGGTTATTGTTCGTCGCTACCGAGGCATAAAAGGCAACACCACACGAGTCACGTGCTTCGGGATCAAATACAGCGGTTCCCACTCTACAAATGCATTTTTATCTTATCTTATCAGAAGTTTCCGAATCTAACGTTATGAAAAAAAGGAAGCCGTGCAAGCATGGCCTTCAATGTAGGCACCTGTTTTCCCCTCGTCTTTCTAGTTATCGCACGCTTCTCTCGCTCGCGCCTCTTTCACTTGGTGTCATTTGAGAACTTGAATAACTGGGGAATTGAAGCACATCAAATACAACACCTGCTCAGGTCACGTGATACTCTCTTAACGCACTCGACTCAGTCTCACAATTCTTGTGAAATTGGGTCGAGGTTAGAACGATTCAATTGTTGTAACCAATCGGGAATTATTGTCATCATACCCTTGATTGCAAATTTGTAACAATACTCATCAAATTGAAATAATGTTACTTCACTTTTACGATATCAATATATATTTGTCACAATAATATTGAATGACGTCACTGTAATATTACAGTGTTTTCAATGCAATGTTCCAGTTGACCATACATTTTTGTCTTTGCGTACTTTTTAAATCCAGCATTTAACAGTCCGCAATTCTGGGTCATGTAAATTGAGATATTAATATACATATAAACTTGTTGGAAGCAAGTAGCATATTGTGAGTTTAATAACGTATATAGGTCAGTGTTATAATAACCTAAACTGACCGAAAATGTTACATATATTACAAGTACCTACTTTGAAACGTAAATTGTCCGTGGCACAATGTGAATTCTGTATAGGACGTCAATGCAATTTACAACACCCGTTGCGAATGTTCACCGGTGCCTCCCCATGTATGCATTTGAACTCCGCCATTTTTAAACCCCTTTACCCTGGCATAACGTCTTCACAATTGTTTTACGTGCCGGTGTACGTATTACGTAATGGTAAGCGCCAGTGATGATACCCAATCACGTGGGCTTAAAGTCCTCATTTTTAAACTCAATACGCTAAAAAACAGATGCGAACACGACAAAAGTAAAGTACATTGTATACTGAATGCTTATATTCAATATTCAACGTTTTGTGATATGTTGGTGCCTGACAGTTAGTCACTCTGGAGGAGTACATGTTTGAAACAATGGGTGTTGACAAGGTTGTTGAACTTAGAACATTTTAATGTCCTTACAAATAACCGACCTCGCTCAGCCATTGTAGTTGTGAGCATTGAGCCTTCAACATTTCTCAATCTTAACACCTTCGTTTCTAGTAAATCTATTTTTTATAATATTAAACTCGGCCCCCAAAACAATTATACATACAATCCGTCAATTGCTATTCCTTTATATGTTTCAATCCGAAAAAAATCTTTTGGAATTGACTTTCTGCTTATTTGGCGTCAATAAAAAAATCATTCTTTATAGCTTAGCCATGCAGATCAACTATCTTAAAGACCTTGCTTAAACCATATGCTTAAACCACATTTACGACATTTGACGTCGTCGTTAGAAGTAATGAGATATTGTATTCAGATTTGTGGTCAATTTCAGACGTATTCAGATATTTTGGGGTTTGTCCCCTGAATAGTACCTCTGAAAATGCTTTAATTTAAGAACTGATTTTTCTCATATTAACATATTTATCATACAATTGTGTTTTGATGGGTGTATACTTTCATAATACACACTGTGCGAGTTTGTATTCGGTGTTGCGGGGCTTGTGTCGCAAAATAAAGGCCTATTAAATGCTCTAAATGTGGTAAGCGTGCATCAGCCATTCTTTTGTTATTCGAAACGCAAATTTTTAACATTGTTTAGAATAATGATTAGACAAATGAAGCATTCCATAGTCTTGTAAGACCATACAAGATGTAGTATTCTTTGTCAGACCCAGAAATGCGTAGTTTCCAGATGGGCGATATGGTTTGTAATTCCTATTTTCACGAGTATATGGCACGAAACCTGAGGTACAAGTCATGCTATCAAAGGGTTCAAAATAAATATCCACTGACTTCGATGGGTTTAAAACATCTTCGCATACAAATAATTTTCTTGGCTTTAGAAAAAAAGTGTTGTCGTTGCTGCTGACCATTCATATTTACTTGCCACAATTAACCTTGTACGACCCATCGTCACGAAACGCTGATTTTTTGAAATACCATTCCCCATTTTTCCCAAATTACCAACATTTGGGTGGACCACTATTTAGGTTTTGGCAAAAATGTATGTCCATCTTCCACTTGAAAGTAAATTTATATTTTGTAATTTTGCGTTAATTAATAATGTTGTTTACCATAAATACAACACCGTCAGCGCACAAACGGGAGCTCAAACATGTAATTTCAATTGTCATCAGTTGAAAATGTGCTGAAGCCCAGGATATTTGTTGGATATTTGTTTCAATTATATTAACAAAGAACGAAAATAAAATAGGACTGAACATACACACTAGATATACACCCCTCTGCAGTGGACACTAATCTAATGTACCTTGCCACTCCAAATCTAGTAACTTAACATTTTTCATGATCACTTGAAAAGAAACTTTGTTTCCTTTTTTTTCGAATACACTGTATTGTATAAGGCACGAAGACACTGCATCGCATAGCGTACGAGAAAAACACATTTTATAATAAATTCGTGTTTTGTTGACTACTGTGCAATACACTATTATGTAATACACTATTGTGCAATACACTATTATGTAATACACTATTGTGCAATACACTATTATGTAATACACTATTGTGTAATACACTTTGTGTATATAATGTTGGTTGTATAATTAATACATACTGTAATACATTCAATCAAGAAATGTTTTTCATCTCTGTTTTCTTTATTATCACAGTTGTGTACTGCCAGGTCTTCATTGCTGATCCACCTATTTTTATATGTATGACATGAACGCTTAATTTTAGTTTTGTAAATAAGAATATATGATTTATGTTAATTTTAATTTTTCGTATGCAAGGTTTTAACGGTAAAACATTTTGTGAGAAGTCAACTATCAGTTATTTCTATGGCGTGTTTACAGAAAACATTGCTACTATAATTTAAAAAAATATATATTATTCGGTCATATACAATATCATATTGACACGGTAATCCCTTCGACAACGTATGATAATTATTATA